GTATAAGGATTTATATAATTCTTTAATATTAAAAAACTTAACGCAAAACTATTATGGGTTGGAATATTTTTTTAGGAATTTCTTTTGTTTAGAATATGAGTAGATGAGATAGCCTTGAATAAAAACAATTTGTTCTCTAGTTGATTATTAATAATAAATTTGATTGATTTTTTTTTCAATAATAAATTGATATTACTTGGATATAATAAATATTTTTGATAATTTTCATATAAAGTATTATGTATTTGAATTGAAATATAAAGTTTTTTTATTTTGTTTTGTTTTGTTTTTGTTTTTGTTTTTGTTTTTGTTTTTGTTTTTTGTTTTTTTGTTAATTTTTTAGAGAATACTGTAAGCTTTTGACCGAAGAGATAGATTAGATGCACTTATTTTACAGTTGTCATTACAGATTACACCGATAAAGCGTCAAAACGATCTTAGTGAAGAAAGATCATAATTTTCTTCTTCATTTTTCATAACTTATTTTTTATTGATTTATTTTAATATAAATATCAAAGAAACGAAAGGTGCGCATTCCCATTTAACTCCATCCCGTTTGTTCGGAATTTTTGCTAAAATGTCCAATCGTATCTTTCCTGCGTGCTTATTTTATTTCATATTTTCCTCTGCTGTCCTTCCTTTATCATTATCATCATTATTATTATTATTATTATTATTATTATTATTATTATTATTATTTTTGTCGTTCATTGCTAGTGCGGTATAATATCATAAAGTACACTTTGCTCATATCGCATCGACAATCGTTATAGCGCGAAGCATAGTAGAAAATCGCAGAAAACGGAAGTTTCTCGCGTTTCCTCCAACTTCGATAAGCCACTCGTGCGCTATGTTCCTTCGTTACAAATGCGTTTCTTTTCCCCTGAAATTTTTCTTATTCTTATTTGACTTTTTTTTTCATTCACACTCTCTTACTCACTCAGTCATGCTTTCTGCTTCTCTCATCATATAGTTGCTTGTTTAAAGTGAAATTTCTAATATACGAAGCATATAATAATCGATACATTATTTCTCAAGGAAAAAGAACAGTTTAAAATACGTAATCTTAAAATACGTAGACCTCTACTTTACACACACACGCGCGCGCGCGCACATATAATGTGCAGTATTTAACAATAGAATGTAAAATAAAGACAAGGAAATGTTCCATAATTTTACCTCGTTTAAGTAAGACTATGCATATACTCGAATACTTTATATCTCCAATATTTTAATAATATACAATGAAATATTTAATTAGTGATTTTTTATTGTTTAAAATTCTTTGTATTATTAACACGATTGTTTTAGGAAATTCATATAATTTAAAAAATACTCTATTAATTCAAAGAAAGAATTTTATTAATTAAAAGAATTTTTCACAATGATTTGTAGTTTAAAAATATAAAACATCAAAGATATAATAGGAAAATGAATGAAATCCCGACCAGGTTCATTTGCATTTTTCGGGAACATACATAACTCGACTTTTCACGATCAAAGATAAAAGCTCGTGCCAATGTTATCTGAAAAAACGGAATCACATTCGTCTGATATTCTTCACCCCATAAATTTACAATTGCTAAACGGATAATAAATTAATCAATTTTTAAATATTTAAGTTTCCATTGTTTACGTTAAAAATGGTCAAATAGTGGTTGGATTATTATCTTTAAAGCCAGGCTTCTTATTATTTGTCCATATTTGTTCAAATATTAATAATCTCAGAGTTTTAATAAATAAGCCGAGGTCGTAATGTATTTAGAAATTTAGAGAGTATCGTAATATACGTGGAATAAAGTAAGAATATGAAGAGAAATGGCAAAGGTGAAGAAAACAATTCGGTATTCGAGACTTCTTTATTACAGTTACATATTTATATTAAACTCGATAACTCATTGTAGAATATTCAATCGCACAATAAACTTAATAATAGTATTATTGTACGCGCTAGGTCACCGTAAACAGTCTAAGGGCAAAAATATAAAGTCAGTAGATTTAAATTTCACTTTTAATGAACTCAATATTACTCAATATAAGCTTAACGTGCTTCTCTGTAGTATAATTATATGTGGGAAAACGAGTCTATTTTATACGATTAAATTTTATAAACACATATTTAATATTCAAATATATTTAAAATTCTTTTTTATATCGTTTTCTGTTTATTGCAACTTTTATATCTCATACTTTACTTACAATTACGATTTAAGCATTCTAACTCATTGTGCAGCTGCGATTAATAACAAGTTTAAAAGAAAAAACTTTCTTTTCCTTTTTTAAATAATTTTTTATTTTGTTTGTAAATTGGCGAACTATTGGCTCGAAGGACATATTTTCGTAATCACGATTCATTAAAGTCACACGATCGAAATATATAGCCTACAGCTGAATTTGATATCAAGGATATATTTGAATATTAAATCAATCGATTCCTAAAAATGGGTATCATTGACTAAAAATAAATATCCATTACTAATGTATTTCTTTTAAATTCACGAATAAATTCAAGTATATAATTTAAAAATATCCTATTTAAGTATTAATAACATGTATAGCCAAGCATTAAAAGAAAATAGGTGTTCTATTATTATTATTATTATTATTATTATTATTATTATTATTATTATGTATTTTTCTTTATCGTTTAATTTAAATCCTAACATTTAAATTAATTTTCTTTAATATTTGTCTTTGTATTTTTGTCGTCGTTATGGAAATATCGAAACTAAGAAACAAAAATTTATTAATACACACATAAGTTATGGCAAGTGGTTATTATTATGAATATTGATATGAATATCGCTTTATAGGAAGAATTCCCAACATTACAATGCAAAGTGCTTTGATTAAATTGATGAGAAATTCGAAGATTGGGAATATAACATTAGTTCGAGTTCCGATTTAAATTATAAGTTTCAAGATATTATTATTATTGATTGTATAGTTAATTTAATTTTTAATTGAGTATTACTGAATTTTTATTTTTTGTTCTTTTCACGACAATAATGTTAATTGATATTATTATGAACGCCTTAGTGAACATTAAACGAACGTAATTACATGCCTTTTATGTTTCTCTATATAATATAGATTTTAATAATAAGTTAAGAAAGAAATTTTTACTAGTTTTCAAAAAAAAAAAAAAAAAAAAAAAAAAAAAATTTTTAAAAAAAAAAAAAAAAAAAAAAACAAAATGTTTTCTCTAACTTCAATACTACAAAGATGTATAAATGTTTTTCTGATTTAATCATTTCTTCTAAAGGTTAATGCTAAAAATCAATATATATTCTTGCATCATGTTAATAAAAAGAAAAACTTTATAGAAAATAGTACAAAACTTTGGTTTGTACAATCTATTTATATATATATATATATATATATTTTTTCTGATCTCTTCAGGAAAGTTTATTGGTTTTATTAATTTTTCATTGTCTTCCTCGAATAATCAATATTTTTGGCTTGTACTATATTTTCGCGAAACTATGATATTTGAAAAACTTATCTTTAAAGAGTATTTTAGTATTTAATTTAATATTCATATTGATGAATGCAAAAGACAATTTATATAATAAAATTAAGAAATGTAAATTGGTCTATGTTATTAGTTGACTGATTTTGCGAAACCTCGATGGAATTTTCGTAGAATTTATCAATAAAGAATAACATCAAAATATAATAAAATTTTATTATATTGTTGTACAATAAAGTCTATGTTAATAATTGAATTAGCGAAATAGTTAGAAATTGATAAAATTTTAGATTTATTATTGATTTAGCTTTGTTAGATTGTTTTGGGATTTTAAATTTAATTGCGAAATATTTAGATATTTATAAACGTAATTGCAATCACAGTTTAATTAATATTTACTTATATTTCATGAAATCTTTATAAATTTCAATTATATAATTATCCGAGAGACATTATATTGTAATTGTATAATAATATCTGAATTAATTCGAATTATTGTATTATTATATGCATTTGTTGAGTTTTTAAAATTATGTTTAGAATATTGTTTATCAGGTATTTTAGAGAATTTTTAAATTTGTTAAAATAAGCATTTGATGTCGTTACTTCTGCAGATTATTTAAAAACCTTCATAGCATCTAATTTTTAGATGGCAATACCGAAGGCAAAAAATTGTTTCATTCTTTGCTAAATTTTCAGCTTAACATGAAATCAATTTAATCAAACATTTTTTCAGTTGGTCCCGTATATTACATTGTAAAGTTTTAATATTTCACCTATGCAATGCCATACATGAGACATATTAGTTTTCTTTTTTCTTTTTTTATCTAATGGACTTTTAAGTATAATATCAATGAAATTTATAATATCAATTATAATAATGCATGCGAATGAAATTTAATTAGACAGTATTAAACGAGAGAAGGAACGAGTCGTTTAATTTTAAAGGAATAATTTGATTCGTGACTCGAGCAACAGAATGTATGTGTATATATATACTTTAGTTTCGGTGGTATCATCTGGTAGTAAAATATATAAACATTGCTACGATATGATGTATATATTATGAAAAACGAATAATAAAGTACGAAATAATCGAAGTAAAATAATTAATGTACTTTTACATTCCATTGGAGTATCATCGGGTGGGGCAATTAGATACATTAAAGATAAAGTTAATTATTACGCATCTAGCAACGAACAAATTTATTCACTCGCATATGAACTACATTATAGATCAAAGTATCAATATTCTGTTAACTGTACTTGAAATAAAATTTTTCGAACGCTATCAATAATAAAGAGGGGCAATTAAAATGCTCTAAATCAGCCTTAAATACCGCCAAGCCAGAAATTTTGAAGCTGACTTCAATGAAACGCATCGATTAGTTTGAAAAAAAAAAAAAAAAAAAGTCACTATACGACGCCTTATGCTTATGTCGTTTCAGCTCACATGAAAATATATACACAAGGCCATGGACCGCTAATGAAAGTAGTGCTCGATTAGCTTGAAAGTTGAGTTGCCGGGGTTTGGCTCACTTATGTAATAGGAAGATCGCAGCCTAACATCTACAACACGAATACAATCAAGAGAAACACGCGCAGGAGAATGCTGGGCACTTTGTCCGTGGGACTCGCGGGAAGCTCCCCGTGCGCACCTGCCCCCGGTCGCGCCGACCCAGGCACGAGGTCCTGCCGACACGGTCGTTTAGAGGAGAACGGTGCACTCGAGCCCCGACGCGCCTCGTTTACGCTCGACCGAGGCGCCCAAACTCGGAGGCTCATGTCGGCCGCGTGTTTCACCTGCAGTAGACGAGGAGGGGCAGGATGCCGGCCAATGCGGGCGGAGTCGCGCTCCAGGAGCCGGAGGTGGGTCGTCTGGAGCGGGGCTTGAGTCCGGAGGTCGGGGTCGTGTGCCGCGTCGAGCCCACGAGTCCTTGCAGGGAGTTGTCGAGGGAGGCCGGCTGCTGGCCGAAATCCGAGGCTCGCTCGAGGTGATCCGTCGGGGAGTTCCCGTAATTTGGCTTCCGCGAACCTGCCTCGAGGTCCTGGGGCTGCTGTTGCTGCTGCCTGGTCTCGCTCTCGGATTCCCCGGGCAGTGGTTCGCCCGAGACCTTCTGCTTCACCGCGCTCGTGATGTCTGTAACACGCGCTACGTTATGATCCGGAGGCTGCCAAGGGGATCGTAGCCTTGCATTTTACACAGAGAATTAATCGACAAGTAGTATGCGTATGCGTACGGCAAACGAGCGTGCTGTATCGCCTAGAAAGTAAATGGCCAATTTTATAAAACGCGATTAAGAGTTTGAAAGAAAGTGATTGTAAATGAAAGTACATTATGTGACACTCGGGCGTGCTTAGTTTAAGCAGAGGAGCGAGTCGAGTTGGGTAACTTTTCATTTGGTAGCTATAAGTTTTGAATGTCTGTTTTATTTGCCTGTTTATTTTTTGTTTTTATAAAGCTATTTTATTTTATTTTTGTTTTTGTTTTTTTTTTGTTTTTGTTTTTTTTTTGTTTTTATTTTTGTTTGTTGTTGTTGTTGTTGTTGTTGTTGTTGTTGTTGTTCGCTACAAGTGTTAAGAATTCCATAATTTTGTATGTTAATTATTTTATCGTTAAATGAATGAATGATTTGAATAAAGATATCTCCGAGACTCTGATGAGAGCACGAAATTGCTTGTTTAGATAGATTTAAAAAATTTTTAGTGTCATTTGAGTATTGGTCGTCTCTATGTATCAAAGACAAATTGATAAGTAGAGTGACATAAATATTTGACGAAATTACATGTGCAGTAGTCGACGTGACGTATATAATAAAGGAAGATTTGATGTAAAAGATAAAATTTATTCGCGAGGCTCGAAAAGAGGCTATTGCGATAAGTTTCAAGAATATTTCCTTTGGACAAAGGGACAAATGCATAAAGAAATTTAATGTATAAATCAATTGGAAGGAAGACTGTTTATATTGGCTTTTAAAATTATCCTTATTTACGACGACAAAAGCAAAGTAGCGTAAAAGATTTGACAACAAGGGTTTTAAAATACAAACAAGTTTAACGTTCCAACATTCCTGGAAGACGAATGATAAAAAATGCTTTAGGAAAAGGTCGCGAGCAGAAGAGAAGGTACCGATGAATATAAATGATTATTAAGTACATTAAAATAAGTCATTGTGTAGTTGTTTTGTTGTACGTCTTTTCCAGCGAAACATTGTCAATCGTCAAAATGTTGCACAGATGGACGAGTTTTTATCGGCGATTTCCCGAATTCAAATTATTCTTGTCTTAAACAATGATTTATCGTTTTTATTTATTTCTTACTTAGTAGGAAGTTCCGGGAGAATGTAAAAGGAAAAAGTTTTTACTACAGTCCATTCGATTTTATGATTATATAAATGAACGTCAGTGATAAGAATTATAATAAAACTTTTGTCACGTACGTGATGTATCATCATTGGAGCTCGAGTTCGTGCCGTTATATGTGAAATTATTCCAATAAAAAGAAAATATTGTTATCGATAGTTTGATTAGAAGCGCATCAGTCGAGCAAACACAAGTTCTCCGCTCCTACTTCGCAACGAGCAAAGCAATCCCCTAATAATAATGAATTTATGCAACAGAATTTATGCATTAGAATTTGATATCCAAGGGAGTAATTAATGCATACATTAATTCGCATTTTTATTCTTACATTAAAGTGCATTACACGCTTATGCGGCCGGCAATCGAAATTTTCTGAATATTTATTTTAGCGCTTCGTATTATTTATACGGCATATTGCGAGAACGACTTTTTTTGTCCGTGGCGTGGCTTTTTTGTCTATGGATTTTGACGATTAGCATTTTATTTCCAAACGCTAGAGATAACCGTACGAGCATTCTTATTATATTAAATGGAAAAGTGAGTCCCTCGAAGCGAGTAAGCTCAACTGAAATCAAGAATTAAAATCCACGTTAAGCGACCCCCTTGTTTGCCTCGGAAATTGCCGAGCACCGATGGAGCGACTCACAGGGCTGATATCTTCACCCCCTAGATTTATTAGACCTAGGTTTATCGAACCCGTGTCTGCCTCAGCCTCTAGTAAATGAAATTAAAATAAGTCGCGCGGAACGTCAGCCAAGCCATTGGAATATTTTTCCGGGGCAGTCGCGTCTCTGTTGGATAAAGTCCCGGAAGACTTAGCTCGCAAATTGGACTTCCACGCTCGCGTGTTACTACTTCGTCCACCGTTAATGTAAGGATATTGCCTTATTGTTGGGGTACTCGTGTATTGCAATCGATGGCTTACGTATGCGCCTTTCGCACACGAGTCCGCACATGTCATGGACACATATTCGAGCGAGTTTATGAGGTTTGTTTGGCTAAAAGGCTTTGACTTATGGGCATGTGAAATTCGATGGGATATTATTTACAAAAGTGCTTTGATATTTGAATTCCTTTAATTCATTTTTCATCTCTCTTTATTAGCAATTTAATTGCGAGTAACTTGAATATTTGGATAACAATCATATTATTATATTTAATAACTCGAGGCTTTTAATGACATATTCTAGATTTGCCTCGTATAGATATGTTATTATTATGTATTATGTAGATATGTTATGTTGGTATTGTTATGTTGTATGCGTTGACGTGGAATTGTGAAAACAATTTGAATAAGGAAGGGAGCGAAACATCGGTAACTCAAACGAAAAGTATATTTATTGCAAAAATGAGAGAGCATCTACATTTACCGCAATTTTATGTGACAATTAAATTCAAATTCATCTCATTGAGATATATCTATCTATATATATATATATATATATATATATATATATATATATATATATATTTGACTATGAATAGCTCGCTTCGTGGTAGACACTGATGCTCCAACGCATTATACGATAGTTTATCGATTATTTCATTGTTAAAGGTATGAATGAAATTCAATAAAATTACAATCAAACGAGTCATTTCTTTAATATAAACGTTGATGAAACAGCCATTTTTCGACAATATTGCACGCATATTTCATAGAATTCTCAGTTGCAAGAGAGTTTAATTATCTTACCGTACAGACGAATACTGCTCTCATAATTTCCATTGGAATTACTTGCGGCGCATCGATAAGTGCCGACGTCCTGCTTGGTAAAATTGCGTATGGTTAAGAGCATCTTTACTTTGAAATTGAAGTTGGGATGTGTGGTGTGGTGACCTTTTGTCGGTGCCTTCGTCACCACTTGGACGTCGTGCTGTCTGCTCGATATGATCATCACGCCTTTAAGCAATTTATCGATCATAGGTACTGGCAATGAAAAGTAACTGCACGTCGATGTTGTAGTCGACGGCGCGTAATTTACAGGAAGCACTTGTATTATTATAGTATTTCGATTTTATGGGAGTAAATTTTTTGTAACAGAAATACACAATAAAATCCATCGTTTGAGTACTTATTCAATGAGCTTTAACGAGATTCGATAGTTTCACGTGCACGTGGGCGTGCGCGTGTAATAATTGCTTGAATTTTACTTTTAGTATGAATTAAATTGTTAAAAATAGTCAATTATTATTTGTTTAGGCATTTAAATGTTTTCCAACCAATACAATGGATAAAAATGTATATATTTCGTCAGCGAAGAATAAAATTTTTAACAAATGTTAAAAATACATCGTATGGAAATGCACATATATTTTACACGCACGCGCAAACAAACACGCGCACGCACACACGCACAGTGACACAGTGACACACAGTGAGTAGTTTATGTTTCTACATGCGAACAGTTTAAAAAGGAAGTAAAGAGCAGACTGAAAGCTTAGGATAACAGGAGTCGTGATAAAGTTGTGTATAATAATTAAAACTCATAATTTATATAGTTTCAACTTATTTTTATAAGTTAAAAGATTATTAAACCGTGTACAGTTTGTGTTATATAGCAATTAAAGCAGATACATTGTAGTATAATTTCATAATAGTCCTATAATTTGTAATTATACGACTTCTAATACAAATTACCATTATTTAATTGCCTTGGATTTTTAATGAAAATATATTATAATAAATATGCACGATTTATAATAATTAAAATGAATTCTAACGTTATAAGAGAAAAATAACGGCAATTCAAAGTACAATGATATTATAGAAAAAATCTAAATTACATTTTTTGCTAACGAATAAAAATTTTCTAGAAAAAATGTTCATGTTTTATAACAATGCTTTTCGTTAGTAATAAAAAAGTAAAACAAATTAAACCAAAAATATAATATCCAAGAACGTTGACTACTGCAAAATCATTACAAAGTCGGCGACTAAAAAGTTCAAGCATATTCTCTTAAAAATTATTTGTTAATAATATGTGTTAATAATATATTTTAGATTATACTTGACATTTTTTTTTTTTTTTTTTTTTTTTTTTTTTTTCATGAATTTATTAACGAAGTAGCCATTATAAAGTGCGATAATATATAAATTTTTCTCCAATTTTTCTATATTGTAAATAATTAAATTTCTTGAGTATAGCTAATTTTGTTTTGTTTTTATTCATTACAAACAATCACATTTATCCGTCATTCGACATTATATATATAACATATACATTTAATAATATAATTCTATAAAGAATCCATAAACTGTATTAAAAAACTTTATCATAATTTAAGTCACATACTTACAGCTACGAATTTGGAATAACAATAATTATCGCATTAACGTCTGCGCTTAACGTTACAATTGCTAAGCAAAGAAAGAGGGTGGGGTGGTGGAGTGTATCAGTATATTACTTGATGGAAATATATCTTTTATTGCGTAAGGGCTAGTTGAACTAGTAGCGTAGTGACGCGACTGACTAGTAGATTCTTTTACAAAAAATGCTTTACATTATAGAAGTCGAGCTTTAATGGGTTGATCTTTGGTTACGCTACTCGTTAGGTGATAATCTTGCACGTACTATCACCTTTCGGATGCTAAACAACACCGTAACCGTTACTACATTCATGTACAGGCGTTTACTTAGCCACGTGACCAGTGAGTGCGAGTGGCTTTATTAGACTAAGGCGAAGAGAATCTAACAGAGACATCTCATAAAATATGTTGTTTGGAAAGCTGACAAACAAGATTGTATTACCGTTCGCTATATTAATGAATACCTTAACGAGTAAGTTTGATAAATTATTTATTACTTCATGGCTTGCGTTTAGCGAAAAAATATATTCATATTACTTGTTATTTGTGGCTGATTATGATTGTAGTTATTTTCAAGATAGAAAAAGAATTTAAAGGTTACAAGGAAGATAAGATATATTGAGTAGATTTATATTTCCATATTTTATAAACAAAATTTTATAATACAGCCAATCATTTTAAAACCCCTGGCCCCTGCGCCCCCTCCCCCCACCCTTACCATCTATTATTGTAGGAGCAAGTAAACTGAGATATAACTTATTTATGGATTTTTCACACTGCTGAAGTAAATGTTCTATTAAATTGTAACTAGTTAGAGCATAAAAGAGTTTACTATAACACGATAAAACCATGTATGTTTCATTTGAATTTAATATGTTCAACTTGCAATGAAATTTTATGTTTTTATTAATTTTTTTTTCTTTTTTTTTTTATAATTTGCTTTACTGAGATATTGGACAGAAGGCTTTATTTATTGATAAGAAGCAAAGAAAATAAATTTTATACTATATGGAAGTTTTTTTTTTTTTTTTTTTTTTTTTTTTTTTTTTTTTTTTTGATTGATTAATCAGGTGATAAAAGTCTATGATATTCGCAGTTTTGGCTGGCAGGGTTTAATTATAGTTAACACTACAAAAACATTAAATTAATGGCTGTTTTTAATATGATACATGGATTTTTTCAAGGTGATAGTATAAAGTTATTTAAGTTATTTTGGAAGCAAAAAAAAAATCAACATTAATTTTATATATAATTATAGTAATAATTTTTTTTTTGTATTTCATTCTATATATTTACTGTTATTATCACTGTTCTGGGTATATTTTTCACGAACGTTATTATCAACAAAGCTAATACGTTGTATTTGTTAACTTTTCTATTAATATTTGTAAATCTTCTTTTATCATTTTAGAAGGGAATCGTCTTAATTAAAATTCCAAGTCAAATAAATTTCGACTATTTTCTATTTTACTAGTATATTTACTGTTTTACTAGGGTTGAATTGATTTGTAGTTATTTAATTTTTTATCGATCTTAATAAACTTGTAAGACTGTATGTTTACGGTGTCAATTCTGAAGGTTTGTTGGTAACTATTTCTGGTGACATGCTTAAACTTTATGATTAATTCATTAATATTACATGGAGCATTCGAAAAAAATTACCTCCATTTGATAATATTGAAATATAATACACTGTTATTCTATTGTTTGTCCCATCGTTAAACTTATAAAGAAAAATTAAAAAATCTATCATAATTAATGCATAATATAAATAATGTGATATAAAACCGTTATTTTGAAATAGGCTTTGGATAATTAATTTAAGTCTTGGTTGAAAGAATGTCTAATTCCGTAATTGTTAATTCAAAAGTTTTAACCGTAAAATATTATGTAATTTAAAAATATTTGCTCTTTTTTTATTATATAGCTATATTAATTTAAGGTGATATTTTCGTATTGTAATCACTTTAATATATAATTATCGTAATGCGTTTTTATAGAAAAATGAAAAATAAAGTATATCAAAGTTGGAGAATATTGTTCAACATTTTGGTAAGTAAAAACCAACTATATATAGCCTGGATTTATTAACTCTCCCAGAACGTATAATATTACAGAATCTTTTGATATTATAATAACACGTAATTTATAATCGCAAATCTCTTTTATCTTTTAAAGAGTATTTGTATATTTGAAAGTAAGCTTCCACCGTAACTTTCTCTAAATTGTTATTGTGAAAAGTGCGTTGTTGCAAAAGTCGTTGAATTGATTAAATGTCCGACAACTGTAATTTCACTAATTTACTATTGAAAAAATGACTATAAAATTATAAATATAATAATTTAAGATAAAATTTCAAATTTGTTTGTATTTTGTAAATAGCACATGGAAAATCATTTAGAAAAGATGATATAATTTAACATGTAAAAGTTATTATGTGTTTAGGGTTATAAAAAATGAAATTTTTAAATTATAACTCGACATTCACTACACACGATTAACAAATATTCAATCAAATAATTTCGTCAAGTGCTTATAATTGATAATCTATTTCGAGATTAAATCAATAGATTTCGTTTTTACGTTAAAACAAAAAAAAAAAAAAAAAAGAAAAAAGAAAAAAAAAATAGACGTTACGGCACCTTATTACGAGAAATAGTACAGGAAATGAATTTTTGTAACAACAAAGTTGGTGTAATAAATGGCAAACTTGCTCTGTACAACAAGTTTTCAATTCATTTCAACAACGTTCAAATGATTAATATCCCAAAAGTAAAATGTCAAGATTTTGTCTGCAATTTATAATTGATATCGCATCCTTCATTTCCCGCTACGAATCGCAGACGATTATGCTTCTTGATGAAATGTCATTACGAAGGAAAACCTAAAGGAGCGAAGAAATTATATGCTTTCCAGCTGGCTAAACGCACACAAATGCTTTCATTACTCCCAGCTCTATTATATCTCGTTGCTCGTTGCACATAAAACTCCCACGTACCGCATATTTCATTAACACTCGCCGATTTATTCGAAAGCTCAAGTAGCGCGCAACGATGGGAAATCGGAAAGCCGTGTGTGTGTGCGTGTGTGTGTTCGTGATATCGCCTGGAATGCCAACCTCTCTTGACAGGATCACTTACCATCGGGAAGCTACGGCCCGATCGATCGGCGCTCAGGTTATCCGTTCGAGTTAATAAACTCGGAAGTGCACGGCAGCCGTTGCCGTAGCCTTAATGTTGCGGTCATGCACACGGGTGACAATCCTGACTGCGCTGCAGGGCACGTGGCGGTTTTCCGTTTGATTTTAGTATTCCTCTAGCCCCGTCCAAGATATTTTCTGGCGCGGCTGCGCTGGCAATTTTCTTTCCGTCCTCTCCCCGTTCGCTCCTTTGCCTGCTTTATGTGTTTTTTTCTTTTCTAAACGAGATACGAGCCTACGATATTTCTGCGCAATAAAAATTCGCCGATTGGAAATTCAGTCAAGCATTTGCATATTCAATTATTCAGATTTCCTTCGTGACAATTGATTTATTTTGTAATGTGCAAGCGACGACTCGATATTAGTCGTATTATAATGGCTGTGTAATTCAATGTAATGAAAATTCATATGTGAATAAGTGATGGGGAAATTTTCAAAACAAAAACAAACAAATAAAAGCAATAGCATTCGATAGATTTCATTTTCTTTTTAATATATCCGTAATGAATTGCCGCAATTATTTTCAACGTCGTCGTTATGTCGCATTTAATTAATTATGCATTTAATTGAGCTACTTCATTTTGTAACGAAATTTATTCATCTATAAGATGTGCAATATTTATACTTCAATGTTTATTATTATTGCTATTTATTATTTTCGAGTGAATTCAAATATTCCATTGGAAAAACATGCAACGCTTCCAGTTTATGCCGATGGAAAAATTTTTCAATTACGATATGGAGGCGCGCAATACTTATGAACCGTACTTCTATTATTATTACCACATAATCTTATTATACATTATGTTATTAAACATTAATATATTATTGTAATGCACGTAGATTGTCATTTTATTGGAAAGGAGCTTTTATTTACGTAAGAAAATTTTGTGGAACGTGTTTTCAACTAAATATTTAAATTCATCGACTTAAATAAATAAAGAATAACGATATAATGTCAGTTGAAATTGGCTAATGCTTGTTAAACTATTTAAGCATACCTTGTCTACAATACTATTATGTCTATTATAATTTTTGCTCAATCCGACAAATAATACTTATCTTTAATTTCAGTTACGATCAACTTTCAACATACTTTAAAGAGTTGGAATTATATTTTGATAAAGTTATGCTATTCTGCGGGTGGATATAGTCCCAAAAGTAGATGTAATACTATCTCTGTGTATTTGAAAATGCATCAGTGAGTCTGGTAACAAGGAACTTCTATCGATGCCGAGGCACTAAATTAACTGGATATACTATGTATATATACTATGTGTATTCAGTTTAAGGGAAAATACAAATAACGAATTTTCAGACTTTTGATATTAAGATGAAATATTAAAATATATGATGCGTGTATAAAATATGTTTTTTGATTAATGAATTTGCTCGATTTGTTTTTTAGTTTCTTTATTTAGCTCATACTTCTGTCATTACGTTAATTATTTTCTACCTATGTCTTTGCATTTTAAGATAATCAATCTGTTGAAGTGACTTCATTACACATTGTTGATATCTAAAATTTCAAACTAAGAATAATTACTCAGCCATTGTATTATGCATTGTATTATTACATGTTTGCGATCTTATTGATTTATGAAGAAAATTTTATTTATGTTGCTTTGTCTTTTTCTTTTTCTTTTTCTTTTTTTCTTTTTACTTTACTCTGGCATCCAAATTGTAAGAACAAAATTCTTCTGAAATATTTTGATTGATTGGTTAATCATGCTTGTAAAAATGCAATTTGGAGTCGATGATTTTGTTAAATAATTTTTATCGGTATAAATCATGATTTAACTTCGCAATGAAATATTTTAAATGAAATTCACAATTTAATATTATGTAGTCTCTTGAAATTATCTTAAATTTAATGTAATTAATTTAAGAGTTTAAAATATTTGAGTGATTGAAGAGATATTTTGATAATTGATGGAAATGTGTAATTTAACGTCGATGTTGCAATACATTTCATATATTAATAAATTTATGTCAACATTGTTTATTCTTTGATTAATACGTGTAAGAAAGGTCATTAGATCGAAGTCTTTCAATTACTTTCACATCATATTTATTTGCATACTATATAAGTTAAATTGTGGTATTTTTATGAATTTTGAAAATCTTTAACTGATTATACATAGTATTAATTAAGCTTTTTATAATGAAATATGTGTTATTAATTTTCATGTATAAATATTAAAATGCTCTCAGATGTCGTAACTATAACCCCATGTATTATATAAAATTCTAAAATATATATATATATATATATATATATATATATGAATAGATATTATTTAGCTACGGATTTGTTGCTGCTAAATCACAAAAATTTATCGCTATTGTTTGTGGCAAATGATATATTTTGATTTATTTTTTTCTATATATTTTTCCCTCAATATGCTATTTAAATACTAATTAAAATAAAAAGACAATGATATTTCATGCCACGAATCATGGATAAATTGTCTTCGTATCAGTTATTCTATAATATTTCGCAATTTTTATGTATTACATGCTATTTCTAATGCTAAAGTTATTTGAAATGTCATAAGTCAGTATGCATAAGTACTATTTCTAATGTAATATCTCGGCATAAAATGTGTTATATATATTTCTGTATTATTGTTTATGATTTGCATGGAAATGGTGGTTGTAAAATTCAACCGAATTTCTTATTGTTACGAGAAAAATGCATATATCATTTTTCCAACATTATGTTTAATTTATCACCCATTATGCAAATGTTAAAAAAAAATTTTTTTTTTCTCCACAAAAAATAATACGAAAAATACTTTAAACATACTCTTACTCCATGAATATTTACAAAATTAGAATTCCATAAGAAAATTAGATTATGTATTATAAAATGATAAAGATGCATTTCTATGGATAATAATGAATATTTTCGATGATTAATTCGGTGAACTTTCGCATGTTACAAATAACCGTTAAGAATAATATTTTGAAGTTGATTTTTAAAATGAAATAAAAAAACAATGTAAATAGAGATTTTTAATTTTGGAGAACTCATGTACTCCATTGACAATCATTATTTACATAAAAATAACATTCAACCGAATCTCGCGTAAATTGTTTGCTTAATAAAACCAATTCTTTTAATAGTTACAAACGATGCATTTGATTGGAGTACTGTGGAGAAAAGGAAGGAAAAAGGAGAAAGAAAAACGTTGCGCTTACCATTATTGTTGAACCAGTAATTAATCGATTGTGGAGAGGCCTCGACGAAACATTCGAGCATGACGTCAGTTCCGAGAGGCGCACCGACCAGTTGATTCGGCACGTGTATCACCGGCGGAACTGTTGAAAAAAGTGGGTTCCATACATTTCCACTGTCGCAATTCCAATATTCACACATATCGAACGCGCCAATAGCGACTTTAATTAAAAAAAAGAACCCTTGAATTATTTTTACATCTATGGAATTTTATGAAATAATATTCGTTGTGTTTTCATAACTTTAAATCGCTGGGACGATATTGAAGTCCATTAATTGGTCGATCGATCACTTCTTTCTTAATATTAATATTAGGATAATGCAACTATTCACACCGCTTAACTATTTTTCTTCTTAAAAATTATTATCTTTTTTTTTTTTTTTTTTTTTACAATAAAAATATAAAATAAAAAAATTCAAAATAAAACTCAAAGCTCTCGCTGATATAGAAATGATAAAATAATTTTCACTGATGATTACCAATGAATGTGTTTTTGCGGCAAAAGCAACTAATTAAGTAGTAAAATTTTCGATGGCATGAAATTCAATGAGTATGGCGGAATACAAAACACCATATGAATTATCATCAACTTCAGCTGCTTAACTTTTTCACAGAATTTCAATGGATATATTTATGAATTGTCTTTCTAATCATATACTTTGTAAAATTCGCAAATTATTCGATAAATTTGACTATTGCCAAATTATATTATTTGTATAAAATATTTTAAATAAGGCTTTAGTCAAACAAACATATGGATTTGTACATTGCATTTTTAATCATAAATAATCATCATAACATCGTTCATAAGCAACCAAATTATTTATGCTCATTAATCGTAGAAATTTGTCACATCATTATAATTGTTTGTTTACATTTCAATTGCAATTATTGTAAATTGAATAAATATTTTATAGAGCACACCAAATATTTTGATCAGAATTTTTTCAATCAAAGTTTAATTAACAATTTTAATGCATTTCATTTTTCATGCAATAAAGTTTTTCCAAATTTTTATAAACATTGGATATTGCACGATATAATCATGTTCACAAATATATAATATTTTTCAATATATCTTTGACTATACTGTTTGTATTATAATTAAAATAACTTGTGGAAATATTGTTTATAAATGTTTTATAGCGTCTTAAATGTAAGTGGCGCTTTCAATATAATTTTTTAAGTAAATAAATAAACTAAATATGTCAAAATAAATGAATTTTCATTCCATATATCAGTCTTTAATAATTTTGCACAAATCTGTAATGTTCCATTATGGCGCGTTTATTTCTCTTTATTTCAACTACATGAACGTAATAATTTTAATTGCAATTGATGGTCTTATTTTATGTAAAATTGTATATACGAACAATGTACGTCGACGATTATACGTTTGCTGATAGTTGGAGGTACACCATTACTTGCAATACAATGGTAGACGCCCATCTGATCTCGTTTGATTTTTGGTAGATAAAGTTCCTCGCCAATCCACTCCAAAACTTTGTGCACTGTAATGTCGTAAAGAAAAAAAAAACTAATTATTTAGCTTTTTATTCGACTAAAAGGCTACATATAATATTCAAACCTGCCTAGATATTATAATATATTTTATATAAGAATATAATGAATAATTCTTAGATTTTCATTATTTAAAAAAGTGTAATAAAATTAAATAAGCATATTTCTATTATGTAAAGTCTGGAATTGAGTTATAAATAAGAATTATTTCACGATTAGAATGTCAATTTTGATAAACTCCGTTTTACAATTATAAATATTAGATAAGCAATGGTTATTAGAGTAAATAAAAAGAAATTTAATATTTACTATAATTTCTCACCATGTCCAACAATTTGCCGACTCACATTAATGATAATATTACGTATAATCAATCATAAATTATTTCACTAATAAAAACCACAATAATTTTTCAGGATGGACATACCTTTGAATTTCTCATTGGAGCTAGTTGATTTCTCGTGAAAGGGCTCTCGAATAATTATTTCCTTTTGATCTTCTCTACGCCAACTTACTCGCGGGGACGGTATTCCAGATGCTTGACATTTCAGTTTTACCTGAAATTCAATTATACTTATGAATATAATTCTGTTTTTTAAAAGTAATAACAAAATATATGTTTTTATTTTTATTCGAGCTTTGAATGTATTTTCTACAACGGATTATCACGGATTGAATCCGAAATTTTAATAAATTACGCATTTATTAAAATAATACATTGGAAAAAGCATGAATTACAAATGTAATATAAAAAAAAAAAAAAAAAAAAAAAAAAAAAAAAAAAGTATTTCATATCGAAAGGGCAAAGGTATTAACGATACATATTAATTACTTTGAAAATTTTTTATATTTTAAATGTTGGAATGCTTCCGGTTCTTTTGGTTCACTGCCAATTAAACATTATTAAAATAATTTATCATAATACGAATGGGTAAATTGAACAAGGATAATTTGATTTCCTAATTGTTAATTTATGAATTGAATCGGTAGGAATAGCATTTTTAATAAAGTAAGATAATCGTTACAAAAATTTTTAATTAATTGCCTTTCATTTTGAACAATAATAACAATTGATATAATAAATGTTTGATTTTGCCGTATTATTTGTAAATATGATTAATTTAATGGGAACTAGGTGCCTATTTTAGTGGTTTCTCCATTATTATCACTTCATAATTATGTATTAAAACAAAAATAATAATGTTAATGCATTGTCACACAAATAAAATAACAAGCGAGTGAGATGTAGTTTTTTAAATTTAATATGGAAATGTACGACGTGTCTGAAATAATGCTCGACGTCCTTCGTTATTCCGAGGGAAACAATACTTTCTTATTCAAAACTAGAAGAAACACAACTTTTAAATGGTTTTTCTCGAAGAAAATTTCTGGTTCAGTGTCCAACGTCCACAATCGCCTCGCAACGATTTCATTCTGAATTTCGATGTTAACAGAATTAGTTATCCGTTGCGCGAGACAGAACGCACGAGAAAACTCGAAGGGAACGAGGCTGTGAGTTCCAATTTATCCGAACTCAACTGATGAGAGCTTAATCGAGTCAGTCTGGTCTAGATTTTCAATGAGTATTCGGAAACATTATCGGAATAGTACTTGCAGTAGTGAAGTTGAAGTTCGCTTACTCTTATTGTTGCATGCGCCAATTTATACTTTAATGAGAGACAAATTCTTTCAAATAAGATATCTCACCTGTTCTATTATTCGTCAACTAATCGATTTCACGCGAAGCCATCAATAAACTAATCTACTCTTTTACAGTTGACATGTAAATAAAAATATACTTAAAATATTTATAATGTTTTTAGGCTAATGATATAGTAAGAATTTTAAGATAGCTAAGTTGAATAAGGAATCGTAGGAGATTATGATAAAATTCTAAATAAACACGATCAGTATATAAAATTGCAATAAATAAAAATATTTAACAAAGTTCTGTTATTGTTGGGTAAGAACGTGCATAAAATATATTAATAAACTACTTTAGTACTTGTGAACACAGAACTGTAATAATTACAACGAGATTATTTATATTTATGAATAAATTAATTTATGATATTTATAATTCATGTAATTTATGAAATAATATTTCCATCAAGAATATTATAGAATATTATGGCAAATATATCTAATGAAGGAGATGATTTATTTTTGCGCCAATCGCAATTTAGGAAGACAATGTTTAATAATAATCAATGTAAATTAATTTACAAAAATGAATTGATAAAAGTAAAAAATAATTATCCATCGACCTACAAAACTTTCTAATTGACGAAAATAAATAAGTCGATTAATGCAAATATAAAAATCTTATGTCGCTGGTAATATTTTGATTAGATTTATTTAACATTATATATATAAAGTTTTACACGCGTAAATGATATAGAAACGAGAGCGTGCGATAATGGGAATTTGGAAGAAAACTTAAAATTTTAATTTGCGAGAAAAATGCTTGAGAATCAATAGAATAAATAATGGAAGCGAAATAATTAATTATCATCATTAATGCACACGCACGCACACACACGCACACGCGCAGACACGCACACACGCGCACACGCGCGCGCGCACAGAAAGTATAAGATTTCGCGGATGCCGGTGAGATGCTTTTGTTTCGTATTTTACACAGTTCGTTTTCTACACAGCACAATTGGGACGAATGTCTCTGTGCTCATTGCAACGATTACGAGGAATATGCGTGGAAGTGACACAAGGATGGTAACAGCAATCTGATAACACCCGAAGAGACCTCGCGTCAACTATTATCCGTGAGTTGCATCTTTTCATGATTGTCTAGCGATATTATACACGCGTTTCGAACTTGAATATAGTGAATGAAAGGAAGCTTCATGCTTGAACATCCGAGGGCACTTGTTGAAGTTTAACAAAATAACAGATAAGGTGGCAATGTGAATTCGTAACTTGAGTTGGCTCCCTCGTTCTCTCTCTCTCTCTCTCTCTCTCTCTCTCTCTATCTCTCTATCTATCTCTCTATCTCTCTCTTTTGCTGATATTGAAATAAATATGGTCCTTAAATAATATTAAAACTGTTGAACAAGTAGATTGAACTAATACAAATCTATCAAGGGATAAACAATAACATAAAGTAACGAATGAGCAAAAAATTACTTCGCCTAACATTTTATTATTCAAATAAAAATGTTAACAATATATTTGAATTGTTAAAATATATAACAATTTCTTTAAAAAATTTAAATTATTCAAGCAATTAAATTATGTAATATAGTATATATAATCAGCAGTCGAATGATGGTTTTTCTTCTAATGAGGAGTAAGAAAAATATTTTACAATACAAATATCGATTATTTGTCCAGAAATTATCCAAATTTTCCACCATATATAAATATTTAAAAACCATGGGTATTGTTCGCAAAAACATGTATATTTAAGACTCTTATAGTATATAGTAATACGGATTTACTTAAAAATAATTGAATATTGTTTGGAATTGCAAAGAATTTGTGGTAGGATAAGAAAATTAGTTGAATCAAAAATATTTTTTTTTCGAAACACGATTGTCCATTAAGATCATAACTTCTTATATTGAAATGACGAAAAATTAAATTAAAAGGTTCTTTTATCTTTGTGTTGTGCAAAATTTTTACAATAATGTTCTAAACTTACATGCCATCCCTCTGAAACTGTCACATCGCCAGATGTTTCTTCTGGGATAAAGTCAGGAGGAACTACAATTGACAACATACCCGTCTGAAAAATATACAAAATACTTTATGAAAATTTTTTGTAAATTAAATTTTTGACGTAATTTTAATTAATACGTTGATACAAACATCGATAAAATATAAAATAATTTATACCTCGAATACACGTGCAATAAATATAATTGTAATATTAAAATTTTAATAAAAAGTATCAAACCATATTTATGTATATATATATATATATATATATATATATATATATATGAATATATTCTTTTTCATTAAATATTTATACATATTCATTGAAGATGTATTAGAGACTTTTTTCTTTCTCATTATTATTATATCTGCAAATATACGCAGTTAAATTTTAATTTAAATGAAAATATACATGAAGTAAGATTTTGATAAATTAAAAAAACTATCAAGTCAGTATTTCAACTTATATAAATCATTTCAGATCGAATAACAGAGCAGGAGTAGGATATTATATTATAAAATGTAAAAAATATAAGCGAATATTTTTAATGAAAAATGCAATAACATTGCATTTCTTAGTAAGATGAGTTTTCAGAAAAGGCAAATTACGATTTTTCAAAATTCTTTTCTTTTGCCTTACAACGACGATCGAGGAAAATTATCATTTTAAAAATTTATCAATTTCTAATGGAGAAATTTAGTTTCTCTAAATGTTATGAGAAACAATTTAAAACGACACAAAGTATCCATGGCAAAATACGTAAATAATTTAATATTCGAATTTACATAGATATGACGTCGATGTTAGGCTACTACTTTACATACGTATAAAGAATTCCCTTTTCTATGATAAACTATAAATCCATGTGTTGAATGTGTAATAATTAAAAAAAAAAAACAAATTGAATGGACTGCAAATTACGTGTCGCTAGTTCCATTGGTTATTTTTTGGTTTTATTATGGTCAATGTGAGTGCAACACTGTTTTGAAAATAAAGGCAATGATCGATTTTTTTCCATAAAATATATTGGTATCAGTTAAATATTACTTTAGTTTAGTACTTAAGAACATTAATATAATTTTTAGATAATGAAGAATAAGAGCGTACAATCGAAAAAACTGAAAATCATTTTAATATAATATTTAATGCTGTGTTGATTGCATTTTTGTTTTTTGTTTTATGAATAATATTTAAAAATAATTTAAAACTTATATTAATTCAACAATAATACATTCACTCATAATTTATGCAAAGCAATTCTATCTGTTTACCAGATATTTCTCATCTGATCTTTAATCGTTGAAATTACATTAAGAGCAGATTAGTTAATTTTGATACATTAAGCCAGATAATACAACGATTATCTACTTTCATTATACAATCTGTTATGAGAATACTAATTACAGGATTTTATACGCTTAAACAATATATATATATATATATATATATATTAAAAAAAATTTAATATTGTCAAAACAAACTTTTAATATTTGTTTACGTTTTGATGCGTTATTATTTATAAAAATTTTACAAAAATGCAATAGATATTAAAAATATCGATGATTAATTTATCATGAATGTGGGGCGTTTATTTAAATATATTAATTTAAAATGAAATTACTTCTTTGAAAAAAGTATATAATGCTTTTAGGTTAAATAGTGATATTACATGCTGCCTTACTGTTAAACTAAAATGAATCGCGAATAGGAAATTTAAATAAAATTAATTTAAATAAATGTAAAACTATTCTCAAACGATGATTACATTTTATAGATAATTCAGAGAATATCAGAAGGGATTCATTATAATCAACTCAACACTTATTTATCATACAAATTGGCCAATATCATAACGATATTAAAAATGTTCATGATACAATTGAGAAACTTCAATTTGTTTTAATAACAAAACGGAGCTTTTAGCGTTTCTACATAAAAACAAAAAAGTATGGATCAGAACCGTATCGTTACCATCACCACCTGTACAGGAGTTTCTGTCCGATACGGGATCGCGATCGAGCCCTTTTGTAAGGCTCAATTGTATTACAAAGCCCTTTCATTGGATACGAGGCATCGACACGGCCATTCAAAGGTTTTAATGACCGATAACTTGGCCGCGCACTTTCTTTACATACGATAAAGTGAGGAGAGAGTGAGAGTGAGGGAGCTTGAGAGAGTGGTGGTGGGAGCTCATACACGCGTAGCTGTATTCTGAGATAAGTTCCTGAGGGATGAGACTATCGATTGTCTACAACGTTTATTCGTATATAAGCCAGTAGAAGGGACACAGAACTTTTGCCGATGTTACATCTGCACGCATTATTCTATTGCTTAACTAAATCCTATTTTACAATGTTAGTTTATGTAATAATCCATATATTTCTTCATTTAATAGCTAATTAGTTGGATTCTTTTTCTATCTACAGTTTAATATATAATTTTTTTCATTCATTCCTAGACGTGTGCATTTATTTTTCGCGCATAGGGTTGTGCGGTAATTTCTACGTCACAACTAAACCTAAGCAATGATATATCTATCAAGTAATAGATATATTTGTTCTTTATCATATATGATTGTTTTTATATTTGTTATTTGCTGTTGTGTCAATGATCGTGTTAATAAAACATTGCTATGTATTAGATTCGGAGATTCATAAAAATATTGAAATGTAAATGCATTAAAATAATTATTTAAAAAATACCAATTGTTTATTAAATTTTCACAATTTATGAGTAATATGCTCTACGGAATTGTGGTATAAATCGTTAAAAAATATTTAGAAAACCGCTACAAATAAAAAATTTAATTAAAAATAAAATAAAACATTGTATTAATGAAACTAATGAAAAACGTAACAGAATTAATTGTCAGATTTTTTATTTCGAGTTAAATTATTTTGTTTATATGCTGAAGCGATATAAATGTGAAAATACACCAATTTATTGCTATAAATTTAAGATGAATATTTGTATTAAAATGAATTCGGATGTAATTTAATTAAGACTACGCGTGCAAAAATAATTTAAAATTATAAAATATTTTAAATAATATATATATATATATATATATATATATATACATACATTAGATTAAAATTTTTTGTCTGAAGAACTTTACCCTTGAATTTTTGTTGAAAAATGTTTGAAATTTAAATAAGTTCAACAAATTATTATAATTTACAGATAAAAAGTGTATAAAGTTAACCGAAGAGTATTACATAATATTTTATTTTACATTACATAAAACATACATATAAGAGTATACATACATATATTATATACTAAATTTAGTTTAATATTTTCAATATTTTTATTATTTAATTTTAATATTACGGTAGAATAATACTAAAATTGATATATTATTATTACATAATAATCCATGGTAAATCTAAGACACCCTTTTTAATTTTAATTTAAATAATAATTTCATAATGTGTTACTCACATAAGATTATTATTTCATATTTCTTGCGACAGCAAATGTTTTGTAAATATATTTTGTAAAATCAAGGTTTGACGTAAAAATATTGTAAATTATGTCGCATCTCAATATTTACATTAAATGATTTATATACACAATGTGGATAATAGTAAAAAATTATAATTAATACGCAGGACATTCAGAAATGTATTTTAATTTATATTGTTAGAAAAAGAAAATTTTTATGTACCAATTAGTATACTTATGGCTAGTGAGAAGAAGTAAGAATGCGATGATGCGAAAGTTGCACCAAATAGATATAAAGAAGGCGATAAATACTGGAGGAGTGATTGAACGAGAGATAGAGAGAGAGAGATAGAGAGAGAGATAGAGAGAGAGAGAGAGACATATAAGGTAAATGAGAAAAAAAAACACATGATTTAAAAGTATATAATCTTAAGTAGTAAGAGTCGTTGATGGACGCGCTGTCGACGGCTGTATGGCCGCCAGTGCATACTAACAGCTCCGTAAGTAGTCTTTTGTCTTCTTACGAATGGCTGAAAAATCAGATCTAAAGCGTAATAAATAGCAGCCACTATTGAATGAAGTTTAATTCCATTATGAGGAGCGATTAGTCTATTAAACTGGGATGCTGTTTTGAAAAGACGGCAGTTGCCTCCATTGAGAGCTCACACCGCAAATGGAGATACTCCAAATTTACTATCTTGCATTTAACATTCTTATATATTCTACTCGCTTTCTTTTTAAGTTAAATTTGAAATTCATTTCCTGCTTTGATATGAACGTTGTGAAGTGACGCTCTTTTTCTAACAGAGCATTTAGTGCGCGGATTTTCTGCTCCGTGATGACTGCAAAGAGCATAAACTTCATTAGTCATAAGAGACTATTTCCGAATCTCAAGCATGGCCGAGCAGTTTTTCCAAGCGGTACTTTGATATTACTCACACAGCCAATTGCTAAGTGATAGTGAGAAATCATTTGTTAGTGCATTTTGACAATTTTTTTCAAACCACTTTTTCCCCCATTTAATTGATTCAAGCCTGCTGATAATTAATAATCGTATAAATTAATATTATTATATTCGACTTACGTTGAGGTATTGTAATGATTATTGAACGAGAAGATTCATCAAAGCAATTATTACGCAAGAATTGACGATATTATAATAAAAATTTTGTTTTTATGTGTATTGCAAAACAGGGTATAAATTAAAATTAAAAATATTGATTGAACGATGAAACAAACTGTATTTGTACGATAGATATTACTTGATAAATACACTTTTTTCTTTTTTAATTATTATTGCATTCGCTAATTCAAATAATAATTCTAACGATATGATATAATTTTGTAATATAATAACATTTATTGACAATTTATTCTATTCGAATATCCACAGTCCGAGCTACGGTAACTACAGTAACAAGTGCTCACATGTCCATCGCTTTGATGATGTATTAAGTAGCTTAGTCGATAGTTTTAATTATAATTGTTATTAAATAAACAATTCCATAAAAGCTTTTAATAAATTTTAAAACAACCAAGTGGATTTTTTCATAATATTTTGTTTTTCATCTATTTTTTTTTAATATTTAGCAATATTTCAGATAAAGCATAATCTGAATAACTCATCTTAAAGGACACCCATTAAAATGAAAATTTGAAATATGAGTAGCTTAATTGCTTTTTCAAAGAACATTCAAACAAGAAGAATGATACTTTAATAAGTCTTAAGCATTTTAATTAAAAAAAAAAAAAAAAAAAAAAAAAAAAAAAAAAAAGTAGAAGGAGGTCACAGGGTGAGAGAGTTGAGAAAGTAAGGACGAAAAAAGAAACGTTAACCTCGCGCGAGATGATATAATTGAATAAAATTAAATTCTCGAGTCGTTGCGTATTAACGTCTCATAGTTTTTCTTCAATTAACAAAAATGTTTATGGTTCGAGACCGAATGTTGATATTATTTTGCGTAAATGGAAAGTAACAAGGAGACTTGTGCTTTAATTATTACGACCTGTCACGTTAATTAACGAAGGTCACACAGTATCTCTTTTACGCATTTTTTCGACTACATTTGACATTTATTCTGTGATTTTCGATTTATTTAAGCCTTGTCTGTTCGCTGCTTTTCTCATTATATTTAAAATGATTTTTTAAAATTAAATACAAATAATTAATATCTGTAATAATATTAATTTTGCATTAGGTAGAAAAGATTTTTGAAAAAATAATATCTAATGTAAAAAATAAATGAACCGCAATCTAATATTTGAATATATATATTTTCGCAAATTCTTCAAATTATTACAAAGTGCATTTTTTAATATAAATTTTATATAAATTACTACATTCGTTTTTATAAATTTTAAATACTTACTAATTTTTTTTATCATAATCGCTCTTTAAAAAGTACCGCTATAAGATAAAACTGTTTATAAAATAGATCGTGTATATGTATTTAAAAAATTTGTAAATATAAATTTAGAAAAAATATTTATAACGTTAGTATTTTACTCTTAAATATTATAAAATATCAATAATGTATATGTATTTTTGTATATTTTAAAGCTCCTTTACATTTTAAATGTGATTAAAAAAAAAATTAATATTTGAAAGATTTTGTGAATCATAATGATTATATTTATGTTATTATTAAAATTAAATTAACTTTTTTCATTACGTAAGGACAAATTACGTTACAAATTGGATTTTTATTAAATGATTTACTTTACTGATAAGCAAACGTTTTGTCACGAATACTCATAGACGAATGATGATAATATATTTAGCAAACATGTAAATAAATTAATAACAAATTATTTACTAATGAACAGAAATTTGTTTAAGATTATGTTATAATTAATTCAATTAATCTTTAGCACGTGTAAGAGTGTTTGTAACGATCGATAGTTTTTAGACTCTCACGATTTTTTCAAGATATGTGTCTTATAAGAATTTTTTCAACCATATCCAGGTTTAGGTATTATTAAGCTCTACTAAACATTAGTTTGTATTAGTGGCACCAATAGTCATCAAAATTATGATCAAACAAGAGAGTAATTAGTTGTTTATTCTACGTCTAAATTAGGAATTTACTGTTAAAGTGAAGCGTGTATAGCTCATGAAGGAAAAACTGATAATTAGTATGGAGCATTTGTAAATTAAAATTTAAATGCAATGACAGTAGCTTCAATCTCATTGTTAGTCGATATATCGTGAAAAAATGACATGGTAACATATTTTGTATCATATAAAGAAATTTCAATTCATGATACATTTTTTTTCGTTCTATTTAATATATCATTCACAATCATAATTTAAATAATTTTTTTCAACATAAAATAATAGTTTATTTTCAAAAATTTACGCATCATTTTAATATCCTAAGAAATATTTATCAAATATGTATGTAGAGTGTGTTAATGAATACCATACAATACGTGATTAATATACGTTTATATTATTTATGCATTATTATAAATTGCATTTTAAGTCGTTAGCGGAGCTAACGAAATATCACGTTAAACTTCATTCGTAGAATTTAATATTAAAAGGTTATTTAAATTGGAAAGCACCTTTTTTTGGCCATTTTGAATATTTAATCCGTATTTACACGGTTATTTCAAAATTTACGATATATGGGGAATATTGGTCAAATATAATCTATATAGAAAATGTAAGAATCCATTACTGATTACATACATATCATTAATATTTATTATGTACATCAACAATTCTGCCCTTTGCGTATCTTATATACGTAAAAAATATTGCGATTTATTATGAACGTTAATTGCATTAATTTTAATATACCGTTTTTTTTTTCTGTCAATAGTTGGCAAGTTAAAATACATGGAATAAACCTGACAGAATCAGTGGGCTAAAGCAAGCAAAACTGAAAGTGGCACGAATATAAATGAGACATTAAGTGCTCATCGAAAAATGAATTTTTTAAATGAAGTTTAATAACCTGGCTCTTCATTGGATCCGTGTTGATCTGGCACATATAGAGGCCTTCATCCTCTTTCTGAGCACCTTTGATGCGTAAGCTCCAGGTCGAGTGATCGCCATGGAAAACTGACACACGTGGATTGTGAGTTATCACGTGATCGTGAATAGCCTGGATTGCCTTCGTGTCGGCTTTGACCCAGCCGATCTGCAAAGGCAAATGTACACACGCACACACACACACACACACACACACACACACACACACACACACACA